TAAAATGAATAAAGTATTTTTAAAATGTAAAAGTACTAGGATGACAAAAATAGACTAATTTTAAGAAATTCACATTCAAATGACTTTATATAGGGTGCAACATGACCAAGTACAGTTCTAAACTGTATAATACTGTAGTAGTAACAGTACTAACATTCAGGAGGAGTACACAAGCACAAAACTATTAATAACTATAAGAAAATAATATCCCCCCAATTTGTGTTTGCATTATGTAAAATTAATATTGTTAAAATAAATGTAGGGCCATACAAGTAGTTAATGGACTGTCTGACTTTTGTAAAATAACAATGAGAGTACTAAACAAAGCCCAATAAATCAAGGCCCTTGATTGCCTCTGGGGTTTAACAGTAAATCTTTAATGGTTGTTGGTTGGTTTGTACAGGCAGATCATGCTCTTAGCCCAGGTGAATCGAGACACCCAGGGCATGGAGTTTCAATGTGTGGACGGGGACCCGCAGCAGGTCACTCTTTGCCTAACAGAGGCAGTAACAGTTGCAGGTGAGATGGATGCGTATAAAATCTTTGCAACAGTATTATATTTTGTGCATAGTGCAATGTAGACTCATAATGGCCAACTGTTACTACACAGATGACAACATAGAGGGTATAGACACGGTGAGCTTGCAGGCCGTGACTCTGGTGGATGGCTCCACAGCATACATCCAACATAGCCAAGGTACTGTAACTACACACTTAGCATTACTTTTGGCATTGAGCTATTAATCAGGTTATGCTTCTGACTGACTATTTCTATATGGAATATATGTAGAAAAAAAATTATAAAAATACTAAGACATTTTATCTACACTTTTGAAGTTGTCCTGTATTCCATTAGCATACAACAAATATTGTGTAGTTATGAAACCTGCACAAATGTTCTTGCTTGGTCACTATTCAAGTCTTACAGCATATAATAGTTTCTCTCATAGAAAACAAAATAATGGAAGGACAAGTGATTCAGCTGGAGGATGGATCTGCTGCTTATGTCCAGCACCTACCAATGTCTAAAACAGGTATTTCATATGAAATTAATTCTGATAGATGGAGCTTTATGATCTGTGACTGTCTAATCGCACTAGATAAGACACCGATGACTTCTGTGTTAAAAAGACCACACAATATTTACCCTTATGCTTTAAACATATTTCTTAGGTGGAGAAGGATTGAGACTAGAAGATGGGCAAGCTGTGCAACTGGAGGATGGAACAACCGCTTACATTCATGCTCCCAAAGGTCTGTCCCTAAATAACAATATTACTGTGTATTGTGTATCATACAGACACAAATGTTGGATTCTTTATGATAAAATCAAATAAGTAAATCTCAATGTATTTAATCTTTTTAGAAACATATGATCAGGGTGGTTTACAGGCTGTTCAGCTGGAGGATGGCACCACTGCATATATTCAACATATGCCTCCATCCAACACCATCTTGGCCATCCAGGCAGATGGTACTGTAGCAGACTTACAGACAGAGGGCACAATTGACGCTGAGACCATCAGGGTGCTGGAGCAATACTCTACTAAGGTTAAGATCATTAACTTGTCACTTATTCTGTATTCTTATTTATTGCGTGAGTTTATATGGTTTAGTTCCCCTATTATGACGGAAATTAATCTGCAATGGAATGCTAAACCAATTTACACTTGTGTATATACTTTGTGTACTGTATATGATGTTCCTTATGTTAATTTGTATCATATTACAGTTCATGTTAGTTTAGAGGAAGTGTTATCTGTGTGTGTGCAGATGGAGGCCACAGAATGCAGTACTGGGTTACTTGGTCGAGGGGACTCTGATGGTGTACATATGCAGGTACTGTCTCTACTGATACTATTTTCTGCATTTATTAAATAAGTAACTTATAATCGTAATGCTTTGAATGTTAATGAAGCAGTGACCTACTTTTGTGCGCTTAGATTGTACTGCAGGGTCAAGACCGGTCACCTAGAATCCAGCATGTTGGGGAAAAGGCCTTCAGATGTGAACATGAGGGATGTGGAAAACTCTACACTACTGCTCACCATCTGAAGGTGAATTCATGCAAGACAGAAGAGATACAATACACATAATTCACAAATGTGTACATTGTCTCTGTTGTTAATTATCCACTTCTGAACTCATGTGGCTTTCTAAATATTTTTAGGTACACGAAAGATCGCATACTGGGGATAAGCCATACATTTGTGAACATATGGGTTGTGGCAAAAAGTTTGCAACAGGTAAAGATTTTCCCAAAAACAGTTGTTTTTTATTACTTCCAAGTTTTTTTGTACATGCATTATTTTTCTTTCTGCTGTCTTCAAGGGTATGGTCTCAAGAGTCACGTCCGAACACACACGGGAGAGAAACCGTATCGCTGTCAGGAGCTCAACTGTCTCAAGTCTTTCAAAACCTCTGGAGACTTACAAAAACACACAAGAACACATACAGGTGTTTGGCATATTTAACTGGCCTGTAATAATGGTTTCATCTTGTTTATAAAATTAAGTTGTCTTAAAAATATTTGTCAAATTTTGGTCTGTTTTTAAATTTGTTATGTTGTATAACTATTCATTTTGTAGGCGAAAAGCCATTTAAATGTCCATTTGAAGGCTGTGGGAGATCTTTCACCACATCCAACATTCGCAAAGTCCACATCCGTACTCACACAGGCGAGAGGCCGTACTACTGCTCTGAACCCAGCTGTGGAAGGGCCTTTGCAAGTGCCACCAATTACAAAAACCACATGAGGATTCACACAGGTACCTGTCCTATCAGCTCTAACTGCTTCCAACATCTAATAAAGCATACATTTTAAAGAAATCAGAAGCTTTGAGGTTGCAAGAATTTTTTTCCTCACAAAAATAAGGTATAATTTCATACCGTAAGCTCAAAAGTATGTTTGTCTCATCATATTCAGGTGAGAAGCCTTACGTCTGCACTGTTCCTGGCTGTGACAAGCGTTTCACTGAGTACTCCAGCCTGTACAAGCACCATGTAGTTCATACTCCCTGCAAACCCTACAACTGTAATCACTGCGGAAAGACGTATAAGCAGATTTCGACCTTAGCCATGCATAAACGCACAGCGCACAATGACACCGAGCCCATAGAAGAAGAACAAGAAGCATATTTTGAGCCCCCAGCAGGTCTGTTTACTTAAATCTCCAGCTACAAACTATGACCATCTAATATTAACTGAAAATCTGAATTTTGAATTGGCATCTTTTTCAGAGGCTATTGATGACCCTGGGTTAATGTACACTCCAACGGTGGTGGAAGATGACTCTGGGTCTGAGCAGGTGTCCGGATCAGAAGTCATGGGACAACATCATGTGGCTCTCATATCTCAGGATGGCACACAACAGGTCAGTGATGACCTAAATAAATTCCCACAAGTCCTATATTGATCACACACAACATCATCAGAACCTATTTTATTCCATACTTCAGTACTGTACTTGTACTTTGTAGAACTAGAGTACAATCTACGGAAAGGTGGTGGTATACAGATATTTTCCAAGTAAATACTTGTTGTCTTTCCCCTCTCAGGTTCTGTCTCAAGCAGATATGCAGGCTATGGGAGGCACGATTACCATGGTAACACAAGAAGGAACCACCATAACCATCCCAGCACATGAAGCGATGCTTTCCTCAGGAGGAGCACATTCTATCACTATGGTGTCTGCAGACGGCACAGAGGGACAGGTAAGTGTTGTTACTTTAAGGAATAGTCCACCAAAAAATGAAAATTCTGTCATTTACTCATCCTCATGTTGTACCAAACCTGTATGAATTTCTTCCTTCTGTGGAACACACAAAAAAAATATATTTTGAAGAATGCTGGCAATCAATTACCATTTCAGAATTCCATTGCATTTTTGTCCATACTATGGATGTCAGTGGGACCCCAAACTGTTTGGTTACCAACATTCTTCAAAAAAAATTCTTTCTTTTTCCACAGAAGAAATAACTGCATACAGGTTTGTAATGACATGAGGATGAGTAAAAGATAACAATTTTCTTGTTTGGGTGGACTATCCCTTTAAATAGCTTGCATGCTACTGAGGGACTCTATTACTTTACTAAATAAATACAAGTTGAGCTTATTGTGTAAACTTTTTATTTACATTTTAGGTGGCTATTGTGACGCCAGATCTGTCTGTGTACCAGACAGAAGAGGGGGAGCTTGTACAAGATCAGGAACAGCATGTGGTTTCCACAAGCCCACACCCAGTCACACTGCTGGCTACTTCTAACGGCACACACATAGCTGTGCAGGTATACAATATATACACACCACACACGTTATGGAATCTTCCTCTCACAGTCACATTAACATGCTCAGTTAGGATGGGTTGCAAAAGCTTAAATCATGTGTTTACTTTGTCTGAGAGTACATAATAAAACCTGCAGTAATTGCCATAAACCTTTAAACCCCTTTTAAGGCTGGAACATGCAATTATTGTCAAAAGACTAGACTGTTTGTTGGGGGGTTGCAACCTTCTTTCCATTAGGTGTGTGTTTTTAGGATGCGTGTTATAGATGTAGGTCTCAACTGAATTTGTTTTGTGGTTCTGTAGGTCTAATGTTTGAAAACTTTTGAAATTAAATGCGCTACGCATTTCAGCATGATATAAATTATATTAAACTAAGCCAGATTAAAAGTATTTGATACACTGCTGGCATTCATTTAAAAAAAATACTAGTTTTTTTTTTTGCTGATGACTTGATTTACAGTTTTGTGGATCATTGAGAGAAAATGACTAGGTGGATGAGTAACGTTACACCTAGAGTGACCCAGATATTGGACTAACTGTACAAAGTTGTGTAACAACAGTGAATCAGTCTATTGATACTAGCACATCATTACATCATCTGAAATGTGTAATGTTCTGGCTTTCCCCGTTTTTGTGTACTGACTTGAGTCAGTTCCCTCTGCTTTGATATTGGCTTTAAGAATGCGTTTTAAATGCTCTATAAAATGAGTATTAATTATGCATATCATTGTATCTACAGAGCTTATTGTCAAGGGCCAGGACAAAGGCATCGACGAGCCGGAGAGTCGCCCTGTTTAAGAATGTTGATTCCACAAGCAAAGCCTGTCTGGACGGAAGACGAAACCAGACACCTCTAGTAAACATCAACCCCTTCACCCCGGACTCCATTCTGGTGCAATCATCGACACTACAACGAAACAACAGGAAACGAGCACACTGGAATGAGTATGTTGACCATAGTTTAAACATGTCTTTTCTAGCCTTTCCTCATGCTTTTTCTTTCTAAACAAGTTAACCTCTAGTTTACGGACTGCTGTGAAGTGGTTTTAGTAGAATGAAACACTATGGCCATCTTGGACAGGTTTGTAGGACCGTTCGTTAAATCCGTTTACTAATTCTGTTCCAAGACAAAAAGTTGGCGAAGAACCAGTTCCTCGTGTTCGCTCACTCACCGCGCCATGTTCTTAGTCTGGCCCCTCTGCTGCCCCCTAGAGTTTGTTGTCTGTGTTTACATCCTTTCAAATAATGTATCTTCTTTCTCTAGCTCATGTGGAGAGGACATGGATGCAAGTGATCCTGAGATAGAGGATGAGCTCATTCCACCCTCAAAGGTAAAATTTAATTGACTTTTTATTATTGATTAGTTTTTATCTAATTAACACTGAAACTGAAAAGTAACTTTTTATATCAAACTTTGGACTTTGGGTGTTTTATATAACAAAGATTCTGTTACTTGATGTTAAGGCAGTTTCAGCCAGGATTTTAAGCTTTGTAACACTTATGGAATGAATTTTGGTGCATTCCTACTTGGCCTTCTAGTTAAGTACTGCTTTATTTTTGTGTCTAATAAAAACTGATATTTTCCACAGAGGATCACAATGATGGAGAATAACAACATGATGTCCAGATATGCATCTGAATTCCATGAGTTGGAGAAGATCGGCTCTGGAGAGTTTGGTTCTGTTTTCAAATGCGTCAAGAGGTTGGACGGTTGTATTTACGCCATCAAACGTTCCAAAAAGCCCCTGGCAGGCTCTGTGGATGAGTAAGTGAACATAACATCTTCTTTTAAATACTATTATATACTCAATAACACCAACTATTGAATGGAGATTCTTATTGCTTTTTGTTTATTCCTATGAATTCTCCCCCAATAGGCAAAATGCACTTCGTGAGGTATATGCACATGCAGTTCTTGGACAGCACCCCCACGTTGTGAGGTATTATTCTGCTTGGGCAGAAGATGACCACATGCTGATCCAGAATGAGTACTGCAACGGAGGAACCCTGTCTGATGTTATTGCTGAGAACAATAGACGCATGCACTTCCTTTCTGAGATGGAGTTGAAGGATCTGCTGTTGCAAGTCTCTCGTGGACTCAAGTACATTCACTCTACAGCACTTGTTCACATGGATATCAAGCCAAGTATGTATATGCTCGTTACACCCTTTACATTTTTTTAGATGTGTTTTAGACTTATAATGTTGTAATTTATATATTAATTTAATAATTCTTTTTTTTTTTCAGGCAATATATTCATTTCACGCAAACCTGCTGCTAGTGTCGAGGAATTTGAAGATGAAGAAGATGGTCCCACCACAAGAGTGGTGTACAAAATAGGTAAGATACTAAAATTACATGCCCAGATGATTGTAATGGTAACATGTTTTATACAGATTTGGCTTTATGAAGTGGATGAGATTGACAATATTTTCTATATCAGGTGATCTAGGTCATGTTACAACGGTTACCAATCCACAAGTTGAAGAGGGTGACAGCAGATACCTGGCAAATGAAGTTCTTCAAGAGGTATATACTATTATTTATTCTTGGTCTTAAAGAAATTCCTAGCAGGTAACAATGGTCTGTGTAGTGCCACATTCTAATTTTGCTGTTTTTGCCCACAGGACTACAGTAACCTGAAAAAGGCAGACATATTTGCCCTTGCTCTGACTGTAATCAGTGCCTCTGGAGCAGAGCCCCTTCCTACCAATGGAGAAAAGTGGCATAAAATCCGACAGGGCATCCTGCCCCATATCCCACAAGTGCTTTCTCAGGAATTTTTAAGCTTGTTAAAGGTAAGGGTTCTACTACAAATTAATCCCCTAAACTTCTCACTAGTGCTTTCTATTTCTGACAGATCTGCATTGAATGGTGTCTTGATTAAAATGTGGATATATCTTCCTGACAGCTTATGATCCATCCTGACCCAACACGGCGACCCTCAACCTCTGACCTCGTCAGACATCCTGTTCTTCTGACTGCTTCCAGAATGAGTGCTGATCAGCTGCGTGTAGAGCTCAACGCTGAGAGATTCAAGAACGCACTTCTGCAAAAGTATGATATATTCTTCCATTTCTAGGGGCAGATTTCAGGCTAGTTTTAGAAGTATTTGACTTATTATAGACTTATCAAATGCTGTTGTTTGAAATTGTACTTTTGTTGAACTGAAATAATTCTGGTTTTCGTTTCTCAGGGAGCTAAAGAAAGCTCAGATGGCAAAGGCGGCAGCAGAAGAGAGGTTTCTGACCACAGACCGTGTTCTTACACGTTCCACAGTCCAATCCAGCTCCAGAACTTCTCGACTCATCGGGAAAAAGATGAACCGTTCTGTTAGTCTCACCATTTATTGAACTGAACCCCAGACAAAGGAGATGACCAGCCCTAAGTGGGAACTACAGTGGTGCTTATCAAAGACTTGGGCAACAGACAGCTTTGTCTGTAGTCAGAAGGATGACGCAGACTGTTTTGTGACATAGTGCTTATACTGTTTGGTACAAGTACCATGGTCTTTACTGAAACTTGGGTCCTTCTGCATTGTATAGGCACTAGTGTCTTGAGTACATAATGCAGATCTGCCCTTACCATTTAGGTGTGCCTTCTCAAAATCTCTTTGACAGAATTGCCTTAAGATGGACACTTTTTTTTTTAGTGTAGTTCTGTCTTCCTAATCTTTGCTTTAAGTTCCATAGGTAAGGGTCAGAATGGTCTCCCTGCACTTGCTTTCTCAGAGGTGCAGTGTTGCTCTTTACCAAATGGGAGATGTGTGCCCCTATTGAGCCCTGATATGTGATGTACCAGATCAAAGATTTGTGCACCTTACTGCCTGTGAAAAATGCCTGTTGGGTCACAGAAGTTGGTGGGGCTTGAGTTAGATTGCCATTAAAATGAGCACTTTGGAGGCAATGGTGAGCTTGCCACAGAAAGCCTGCTGCTATTCATGTTTGTCTGTATCCAGTTAGGGTTGGAAGATTTTTTTTTTTTACTTTTAAATAATTGTATCCATCCCAACAAGCAATATTTCATAATCTCATCAAGTTCCAGTAACTTTTTTTTTGCAGATTTTACATCCAGACATTATTATTTTTTTTTGCTCTGTCTAATCTTGTCAAATCTTGAATTTAACCATGTGACAAACCATGCTTAACTGGCAGCAAATGATGATTTAAATGTACATATGCCTTTCAAATCTCCAACCCTGTTTGTAGCATTAAAACAATCTTTGTCCAGTTCATCTGATGTCCTTAGTTAATAATGTATAATTCTGACTTTTGTGTTACTTCAACTACATTGATAGGGTACTGTTTAGATTCTTTGGTCTTGTTAATCCTCAACTTCATTTTGTCTGTAAATACGTTCATTTGAATAAACCGTTTTCACCTAAACGCGCCTGGTTTGTTTTATATGAACTTTAATAGTATGTTATTTTTGAACGATGGGATGGGTGGAGTCTTTTTTTCGCTCAGTAGTTTGGGGTCCAGTCGTTTGATGGTTCACGCAGCCCGCCACCTCAACCTCAGTTAACTTGTATTTTAAACGATATTTGTGATTTAAATCTACAGTAAGGTGAAAAATGCGTTCCTCTTTGTGGATGTACTGTGTTATGACACTAAAGCGCTCAAAGAGGTTACTGTTTCTGTGGTTAACCTCCGGTGTTATGCCCAATTCTGACCCCTGCCAGATTATTACCCCCCTAGTACTGGTAGGGTTAGGTGTGGAGGAGGGGTTAGGATTAGGCAATCCGATAGCGATTTTAACGAGAGGGGTAATAATTTGGCAGGGGGTCGAAAATGGGCACAACACCGGCGAACACCACTTCCAGTCGTTACTCATTTTGACTTGTAATCTACCTTTGCGGTTACTGAAACCTTTGTAAACACAGTTGAACACGAATATTGTGTAACAATCATTTCGTTGTGGGAGGTTTATAATTCTCAGTCTGATAAATGCCTAATGATGTCATAGATTCCAGCTGAGTCCTTCAGCAGCACGCGCTCATCGCTGAGTGGTGCTCGAGCCGTTAGTTCTGGTTCTAAGGTCATGTGACCGCTCTTTTGTAAAACCTCATGAGAAAACGGTTCACATCAAGTGCGACGCTAGTCAGTAGCCCAGAGACACTACCTCTGAAAATGGGACTAAGGGACGAGCTCCTCAAGGCAATATGGCATGCGTTCACAGCCCTGGATGTAGATAAAAGTGGAAAAGTGTCTAAGTCACAGCTGAAGGTTTGTTTTTGCCACCGAATTAACGTTCTTGTTCTTTTAAGTTTGGGCACTGGAGTGTAAACGCTGTTTCAGTGGCTCAGTGCAGGAAAGTTTAGGAAGAGTTTAAGGACGTGTGAATCATAGTAGCCGCACTGAATGTAATTAATGTAAGAATGTTTCAAGTTACTTTTTTTTCTTTAGCATTTCAAACTAGTTTCGAAACTTCAAAACTTCTTCTGTTGTCTTATTGTATGTAGTGTGTTACGGATGAGGTGTTGGATAATATATAACGGCAGCCTGAATAACTGCACACCTTTAGTTATTTTTTAATCCTTCCCAAAACGTTGAATTTGTTTAAAATGTGTCTTTAAATGCATTCAGATGAAATGAAGGTGTTTTGGTTTGCAAATTAAATCAATATTTTGTCTAACCTCTTAAGTTATAAAGATGATAAGAATATATAAGGAATAGTTGTGTAATGTAATATCTGTATGCAGGTTCTTCCAAAAAATATATAATGAATACACACAAAATGATTGAGTGCTTTGATGAATTCTGCTAAAAATAACTACTTCTACTTCAAGCACTGATTTAGATGATGATTATTCAATTTGAATTTACATTAATGAATTATTATTGGATATGTTTTGGGGTTAAACTCAGTGGTGTCTTTCAGGTGCTTTCCCATAACCTGTGCACAGTGATGAAGATCCCTCACGATCCTGTAGCTCTAGAGGAGCACTTTAGAGATGATGATGAAGGTCCTGTTTCCAATCAGGGATACATGCCTTACCTGAACAGGTTCATTTTGGACAAGGTGAGCACATTTGTCATTGTCCAAATAGGACTTTTCAGTTGTCAGGGTTTTGAGGATTGTGTCCTTTGTGTTGGGACAATATATTTTAAGTATTACTTAATATTTATATTAGTCTTTCTCTGGATAAAATGTATGTAGACTGCATTGACAGAGTGAAAAAATGTTTTTGATGGCCATTCTTCTTATAAACAGCTTGTGGTTTTACATGCTGAGCTTTGCACTTTTTTATAAATGCTGTAATTCTTTTATGGATGTTCATTTTCTCATGTGAAAGTTTGTCATCCTCATGGTAAACTAACCCCAATTTGACTAAAACAACTGATGCATTTACTGTAGATCTATTGAAAGTAAATGTTAGATAACATAATGAAAGGCTTCCGGGCATGAGAATTTGTTTCTTTTTGCAAGATAAATGATGTTGAAAGTAACATGGAAGAACTGCTTTCTTTGTAATTTCTCATTTTCTTGTGCAAAAAGGAAACAGAAGGAGGGAAGAGATTTCACAATACACCACAAAGCATTCAGTTCTGCTGTATATGAAAAAATAATTTGTTGCTGAAAGGTATTATAGGCAATGTTGAATTTTACTAGTGTTCCTACAATGGAAAGGCAAATTATACCCTTTGCCTATTTTATGTTTGTCTGAGGTCTCGTGTTTAACACACTTTGGGAATTTACATCACTAGCCATGTATTTTCAGCTTTCTCTGGTCACACTTGTATAGTTGTATGAGTGACCAAACATACACTCCACCCTGCTGCAAAGAGACCCGCCTTTCCCCTTTCTCTGCCTTCCACTTTGACTCTCAGCCAAGCAATTTAACTTGTGGTCAGTGGGAGAAAACAAGTTAAAGTGCTTCATTTGGTTTTACACTTATACATTCACACACATGCTAGTCATTGGCTTCTGTCTGAGACGGTACACTAACAGCTTAGTCACACATCTTACTTCTCGTTTTATGATGATGTATGATTGTGATTTTTGGGTAAATTATGCCCCACTTCTTTCTCACCCTTTCAGCTCTCTTGATTCCAGGAATGCATTCTGTAAAGTGCTCTGATGTCAAATGAGGAATAAAAGACGTAGACCCACTCCACAAACACAATGCTATCAAAACGGGCTAGTGCTTTGTGACCCACTTCTTTTAGTACATAGTGTGGTTATGCTCCAGTATGACATGTTGTGACCACAGTATGATCAGGTTGAAAACGTGTTCGTTTCTCAGCTAGGTTTTACTTGAGACGATGGTTAGATGATGGTAATAACATGTCTAAATGACAAGAAACATACACTGTCTTTGAGGTCAGTGAGATTTATTTATTAATATTTATTAATAAAATTGTTTTATTCAGCAATGATGCATTAATTAGACTTTAAAAAGTACATGTTGTTACAAAAACATTCTATTTTCTAATGCTTAAAAAAAAAAAATATATATATATATTATTTATCAAAGAGTCCTGTATCGGTATCTATAAAAATATTTAACATCTGTTTTAAAAATATTTTTTGAAAAGCAAATCAGCATATTACAATGACTTCTGAGGGTTCATGTGACATTAAAGAGTGGAGAAATGATGCTGAGCTTTGCCATCACTGGAATAAATGACATTTTAAAATATATTAAAATAGACAGCAGTCATTTTAAATTGTAATAATATTTCATAATATATTTTTGATCAAATAAATGCAGCCTTGATGGGCATAAGAGACTTTTTTCAAAGACATTAAAAATTTGAACAGTAGTGTACATTATTTAATATTTGGCAAAGTGACACCGCTATCTAGAATGCTTGATTCTTATTGGTCGATCACAGCGTTTTACAGTTAAATAGGTTTGAATAACGACCACTAATGTGTGTAATTGACCATTGTCCCAAGCAATTCATTTCCTGAATGTGCTAGTTTACTCAGCAGTGTCTTTCTCCTTGCATAATAAAATACTAAAATACTCAAATCAGCATTTTAAGTCCATTTATTTATTTTCCAAGTATCTGTGAAAAGTAGGATAATGGACAACTTCATCCCTTTCTTCTTTGTTATATTAAATAGTTGACTTTATGTGACTTCTAGCTCACAATATTCAGTGTCATTTGATTATACATGTAGATCCTTTATAGCGAGAACTGATTGCATTGACTAGCTGTCAGAGTCCATGAAGTCTTGCTCATCCCAAACACTTCCTACCGTAAAACGTAAGGCTTTCTCACCCTCACGACCCCTCACAGTCAGAGAAACCATAAAGCAGTTATTCACAGGCGTGATAAAAGTCTATTTATGAATGTGATGGAGCCTGAGCTCCACTGAATACAAATGAACAGCTTCATCTGGAGAAGAACAGAGGCTCCACTGGCCACTCAGGTCTCCACAAGGCCCCTATTGTGAGCCTCCCGGAGAAAGCCGGGGTGCGATGGGAGGTGCGTGTGTGAGCGAATGAAATCTGGCACATATACTTGTAAAGAGGAGCTGCCATTTCAAAACAAACATACTTACACCACTGCAACCAAGACAACGCTTGAATTGGTGGATTACAGTGACCGTTTCATGAGAGTTGTCTGGTCTCTATTGTTGCACACATTGCTCCACCAGATGGAGGACTATAAATAGTGTTGGGCTATGAAAGTTCATTCGAGCAGTTCAGCTTCTTCTTGTGGTTTGGTTTTAAAGTATGAGTTCATAGCAGTGAATTAATTATAACTCGATTTAAGCCAGCCATAGGCTTAAGTTGTCATTTACAGCCACAGATGAATTCTGCACGTTTTAAGTGCTTATGTCTGTATAAAATATGTGGAATTCTGTTGAATTGATTGAAATGTGATTTTTTTTTTCATTGGAGATGAAAGGATAAATTTCACAAAACATCTGAAAACCAAACATGCAACATTTTCAAACAACAGTCAGTAATATTCAGAGGCATTATATGCTTTATGGCTCTAATATGTGTTAGAGTAGACTAGCTTCCGTTAGCTTTTGACTTATCGTGTCCAACACACATTTAGTACTTTATAATTTGAATTTTGCCATTTGAAGACATAATTAAGTTTGGGTTAAGCTTGCTTTGCTAAAATGTTTTGCAGTTTTCCCAACAGAATGTTCAGCACTAGTCAGATGGGCACTGGATGCAAAACTGTGCCCAGAACGCTCCAAAAGTATCCATGGGAACTCTAGTTAAGTACTGGGGGGAAAACGTCTTATTTGCAGTGTTGTGTGTGCCTTGAATAGGTTTTAGGCCTTCTTTGCACTTGTAAACCAGAATCAGGACATTTTGTTCATTTTGATCTGTATATCAGATTTAATTAGTGTTGAGCCTTTCTAACATTTCATTTTTTTCTATTGTTGTTTGGCATCTCCCC